CCATAGCGGCCATAATTCAACTTAAGAGACGCTATTTAACGTAATAAATTTCTTATACAGAGATTAAACTATCCGAACTGTTGCGGTGACTCCTCTCGACGGCTGAATGTGCCTGCGAGTCGTTTTATCAAAGTTATATTTCAACTAAGCTCGATGCGTTCGGGCATTTTTCAGGATCGGCGAGTGCATTTATTATACGCGAAACCCCACGTCGACCGTCCCGTGGAAGGTGTTTATTGTATCGATATTTCACCTGTTGCTTCGGCAATCGTTTCGGGCGGCGCGGGAAATTTTTATCCCAAACGAAATCCATCTACTAATATGATTAATATCGATTAAAATAGCGTATTGGGACTCGAAGAAATAGCGTATTTACTTGTTACGTTACCCATCTAAATTTAGTCGCGTATATACGGATATACTACAAAGAAAATTGAAACTTTCGCAAAAGACACAATTTATTAAATCCTGTGTATGTGTGTGTATGCAGCCATATCCTTATTGCCCAGATGCGAATAACTACCAAACCGTAAATTATACGAAAACGGGCTCTGCGCTTGGTCATAAACGCTTGTAAAAAAACAAATATTGGGTTTTATTGTGACTGGTGCACGAATTTACGAGCAGCTTATGTCATCGTGTGCATTATTTTCGTTTAAAGGATTCAGTTTTACTTTAATTCAACCCTATATACGATAAGGCAGCATCACCATTTTTGCATAATTACTAAAAATACCTTGGATAACCGCGATATCTATCAATTTTAATTAATTCTAAACGTAAATAATCATCCGAACGGGCGTAGCAGATCGTCAGATTTGCATAACATAAAGTTGCATCGACTACCATCGACCGTTTCGGTTGAGTAGCCACTACCGGTACTCCTCGAGGGTGATATTCTAAATATCCCGCAATAGCAGGATAATTAAGATATATTTATGTGCGAAACCGTTGGCGAACCGATACCAAGGTTTTCATACTCATTATGCTTCTAACTAGATAGGTAAACCGCGTATCTGATTCGTGGAAATTATCCAATCCGATCGGATTTATTTAAGAACTCGCCGTACAATCGCGAATGGTGATCTCTTCAAATTGATCACCAGCGTCGTTCGCTAATTTATTAATCTAATATTAATGTTTTAATTGCCGCATCTTTATCGGGCGACATTTATTTTAACACCGACCTCGACTTGGACATCGGATACTAATTTTGGAGTATAGTTTGTTTATAATGTTTTACTTAGGAGAGGCATTTTCAATGCTATATTAAGATTAGTTATTTCAAGATTGATATAAATGCCCAAGGGCGTCTTTTAAATGAGTTTACATCGACTAAGTATAAGCATACGACAGGTCAATGGCATTATGTTGTTACTATTTTATCAATTTTATTGAATGATTCCTTCATTATATTATATCAATTGAATTGACTGAGCGTCTTTATTCTAATCCAACGAAATATCAATTTTGAAATTGTACCAACTATAAGGTTGCAGTTCCTTGACCACCGAACTGAAAAAGTTGGAAAAAAGATCTTTGGTCGAGAACCAATGGATCGTAAAAGCCAGCAAACATTTGACTCGTTTTCGTTATAGAGATGTAAATTGAGTAAGGGTCTCCTCTCGGAGTGTTAATATACGTGTGTTTGTAGAACTTGATTCCATAATAGAGCCGCATTCCTTTCTTCCGAGAAGCGCACAGCGCGCCCGAATATTTCCAAATTGGTCGTGCCTAGGCAACCGATCGAACGGAATCGTTACGCACCAACGCCCCGTCAAACAGAATTTCAATTTTTTTTGTACAGCACATAAACTACGAGTAAATAATTGTAAAAACATGTACGAATCGTGTTGGTCAAAAGGAGTTGTTGACCCGCGAATCGCTAAATCGTCGACCGGTATTTAAAAATACCGAAAAGGCCTAAGCGCTCGACGGGCAGCCGCCGATCCGTTACGATTTCGATGTCTTCATAAAACCCATTCGAACGCGACAATTAAAAAGTGCGCTCTTTAAATGGCAACATTTGAATGCGCGCCGAGTTCGCCAAAAAGGCCGATCGCCGGCGCAAAAAGCGCTTCGCCGGCCGGACGGGCGACGTTAATTGCAACTGAAGCTGGAACACAATCGATGCAGTTAGCAAAGAAGTAACACTCTAATTGGAAAGCATACGCTGTTATTTTAACGGATCTTCGACACTCGAAAAATGTCGAGTTGATGGTTAAATTTTATTGTACTAATATAACGCCCCAAATCATCTTCGAAAATATCAAGTAGTACCTACTGTTTAACTTTCAATTCAACCATCAAATCGGAGCTTAAATAAATAAACCTTCTTCGTCGATTTTCTGCAATTTGTTAAATTTGCTTTGCGGATTTCGAACCGGAACACCCTAAAGAATAACAAACACTGACACATCGTTAGGACCGAAGACGTCGCCCAAAAAAAAAGAAGAAGGGACTCTTTAGTCGACCCGAATACAAAGGGGATGTATAATAAGTACCCCACCTACAATGGGGTGTTCCGAGAAATGTCAGCGTGTCGTAACAGTGACGTATTGCTCGACATCTTCAGAGGTAGCCAATGACACCGTCATCAGAAAATTTGAAACTTTTAGATAAACATGCAGATCAATAAGAGTAGCATATTTGCAGAGGTTTCTTATTGTATAAAATTTTTGTGTAATTAAACTGGTAACCATCAGAAAATGTAGCGTACCCACCTATTTAGCTAAATGATCAGGTAAAAATCTTACAGTAAGATAAATTCGTATTTTAACAGAAGGACTTTCGGTCCATTGGATCTATTATTCAGTCGCAAGTTATACGCCTGAATGTTGCATTTTTTGTGTATATAGAATTTCGAGTAAAAGTGTAATGGGATTACTTGCCGCTTGTTTCGTATTTTTCGTGGACCATCCAAACGATTCGATGGGAATAACAACCGACTATAATAAATTAATACGGCAATTTCAATTCTCTCTCTTCGATTCTTATAACATCTTTAATAATTCGATCGCATTGCGAGGATTACATCACTGTCAAATAATACACGCGGCTACGTCAGTGATGCTTGTTGCAAGTCATAGTTAACATCTTCTCGGGCGTCCATTTATCAGCGCAGATTGTGCTGTCAGTGAAACCCATGAACATTTTCGTCTTTCGTCTGTTCTCGGTACGACCGTGATTGGGCTGGTTTTTGTCACGACGACGACGACGTCCCGTCTTTGTATTGTCAGAGGGTTCGCATTCTTACCGACATGTCTATATATCACTGGACGTTGGGCCGAAAACCGTTTCATTTTTGGGTACCTACTTCATTAATAATTACACGCGAGTTGGTCGCGTCTCCGGGTCGCTTTTGTCTTCGTCCCACGGTATTCTAACGAGTTGTGAAACTGGTCGTAATTATTGTCGGTGCATAACGTTATTCGATAACACCTACTATTCAAATAAGTCATTACGACGTCAGATTGAGATGCCGCGCGGTTTTATCGCTTTCAATTTCGTTTCTTACATATTTTCAATGGGTAATTACGACCAGGTGGTACCCAACAGTCATGATCGTAGGCTACAGATATTTAAATATAATATAGGGAATATCCGAATATACTATGATTATGATATTTTTTAAAGATTCGATTTTCTGTTAAAGTGCAAATCGTCGGTAAATGCTTTGCCTTGAAACACACCGCTTATCAAGGAAGTCCCAAAGCTGTCCGGAGTGTCATGAAAGTCATGAATTATAGTCCGCATTTCTCGAGAGTTGTTTTCAGAACTTTTGTTATATTAAGTGACCGTTTCCTGTTAGCGAGGATTTTAGGCGGTTTATTGTCTATCTTAAATTACCCGGACGGCTCTTAAATTTTGTCGACGGTTTTAGATTTAGGTTTTATGGACAATGCTGCCACTATTTGCCACCAAATTTTAAAAGGCTATAAATGTCACCGCGGACTCCCCGTTTAAATTTAATGCCTTCATTATGGATACTGCATCTGACTATGACTTATTATCGCATTGGTTTTTTTCAACTAAAAGCTTCGGAACAGGTTCGCTCCACATGATGTTCATGTTCTATAAGAGGCGATTCAATTAAGCTCAAATATCCTAATCGTACTTGAAAACTTGTTTACAATTTGTCGCCTCGAGCTAACTACGAATGCACGTATTAAAATACCAATTAAGAAAACTACATTATTTTCAATTATAATACTATTATCTAACGCGATTGCTTCCAAACGCAAGTAATTGATTTTAATTATACCATCAATTAGTTGCTTTGTTTTAAAACTGTACCTACTAACTGTACAATTTATCGAATCAATGTTGTTTACGTGCAATTGAGTTAGCTTTATTAATTCTGTAATTGGTGTTTCTATTATAGTGGGTTCATGTAAAATTGTTGTTAATTGATTTGGTTTAGATTTAACGAGTTTGTATTGGTACAAGGAGTTAGTAGAAGTGGCGATTCCGAATTGCGAAGTATCGTCAGAAATTGTTAATGAAATGTATACATAAATACAAATTAATGTGCTGGATAATAATTAGCTTCAGTATCAGATGAAAATTCTGTGAACAATTGTTGGCTGATAGTGGAGGAAAATATGATCCCACTTTCACCTTTCCTTGTGTTTATTCACGGCTTGAAGGAGGAGCACCAGCCGCAATTGTCGATAAAAATGGTAAGTTTATCAGTTAACAAAAAATAGCAAAATTCTAAACCGGCTAACATATCATTTTCTGGTTAATTATTCTCCAGTAGCAACAGTTGTTGTGGTGTTAAACGTTCCAACTAATTTCTTAAACAAACTTCGTAGAGTTTATGTTTACTTGAACATTTCTGGCGATTGCTCGAATTTCATCGACTTAAACCTCAACCAAATGGTTTTTTTGAAATGCCACTCATCGCACTAACCAACAAAGCCAACAATTCAGCAACTGGCAAGCCTCCTCTTCCAGCTCGTGTAGTTTACCAATTAGATGGAAAAATTTGAACTAACCTTGGCGGCGCCGGCGGATGGAAAGCCCCAGCTGGCGGTTGCATCCTGTGGTCCCAAACGTACCGTCCCTCGTGGGTCCTCTGGTCGACGGGCAAGGGCGCGTGGAAGGCGGCGAACGCCGATGGAAACTGCACGGGTAGTCCAGCGGACATGGCGGTCTGGAAATCCGCCTCTTTCTCCGGCATGTCACTGATCACATCACTGCGAGCACTGCTTTTCCTGCGGTCGCAAATCGACGACCTCACAGCACATCGTACCGCGACTCAATCTACTATCTGCTGGTCCGTTCGTGTGCCTCAAATTGTATTCGATTGCGTGTCGCACGCGCTTCAATGCTGGCCGATAGCGACGCATACGTGGAACGCTGAAGACAACATTGGAACTAAACTAACTAGCGAGTGGAAGGCAGGAGAGAATTTCGGTTGACAGGCTGGCTTTACAACTCAACTAAGTAATGTGGGAGAAGGGTCAGGAGGGGAGGGGCCTATTTCATCCGACTGTGAGGGAATGGACTCGCATTCTCTGATCTCTTGTTAAACCAGAGGCGGATTCTTGGGTGCAGCAGATGGATTAATTTATCCACTAATATTCCGCTAATATTGAATAGTTATTTTGGAGTTGAATATTGTATTTTTTTTCACGACTAATTTAGCTAAAAAAAATTGTTTGAAGTGATGAAATTTTGTTCACCGTTCAACATATTTTAACAAGACATATTTATTATATTTATTATTGACGAAGAATGTTATATAGTCCTGTTGTAGTTCCTTGTAAATCAAAAGGAAGTGGATTTTTTATTAGCAATAAAAGTATTTTTTAACGATGAGAAGACATATGAGTGAAATGGCCTCGAATAATAAATCATAGTTAATCTCATTAATTCTTCTATGAGTTTAATAATTATTTATAGTCGATCACGAGCGTTCACCTTCGATTACTGTTTTTACAATCGAATCCATTGATCCAAATCCTTGTGAATTATCTATAATTAGTTGACGAAGTGTCTTCTTCGCATCGTACAGGTGCGAGAAATGATTACTAAAAAAGCATAAAGAATCTGAGACGACCCGTCACATCAATTTGAAATATCACCAGCCGAGATCAAAATTCATCGTTTCCCTTTTCCACCATATCGTCGAGAATTAACACATCGACATCAGTCACAATGAAGGAATTTTTACTAGTGTCTTGTTGGCCGTTAAATTTTTTTTTTTTTTCGACCAGATGTTAACCGACGTTTAGTTATTATTTCTCCGCAATCTGCGTCAATAAAAGCTAATTTACGAAAATTGCCCGATTTGGTAGTTTTCTGCGAGCCGTTTGATTTATTGGAAATTGTTTTTCTGTCCGCAGGAAATTTAATTCCTAGATATTTATAAATTAACGTAAAAGATTGCGAGCGGATAACGCGCAAAAAACCCGCGTAAAATATGCTTATAATTTCCAGCGAATTCGTTGAAGCTCGAAAGACGGCTTCATTCGTTCCTTTTGCAGTGGTTTTGCACACAAAGAGTTGGCAAGAACTTACAGATTGTCTGTCGGCGGTTCTCTGAACCCGCTAACAGATCAGATTGACGTACTGATACATTCTAAAAGCGGCGTACCTCGGTAGATTCGTCAAAACATTAACATTTTTTTCGAATTACCCGCGTCCATAACGAACAGTTTTTCGGGTCTAACAGCGGCGACCTCTGCTCGCACCGGACAACTTCATTTGGCACCTTCGAGGAAATATAAATCAAGTTATTACGTAACCCATAGGTATCTCAATAAAATTATACGGCCCAGGTAAAAAAAAAGAGCTCCCCAGATGATCGTCGAGTGCGTGGAAACAATTGAATCCTCGAGGCGGTTCTTAACAGGTACTTCAACTCTAATCATTCTCTAAAAGACTGGGAGCGAATGCAGCGACAGAGTTTACCCTAATTAACGTATCTAGAAAATTGGGAGCTACACCCTAGAGATTTAATAATAATCATGCGAGGATGAGGCGAAAGAGAATGTGGCTGAGAGGCCTAAATGTCTTAATAACTTCCAAGGTCGAGACCATTCGATCAGGGTTACGATTCGAATTTTCCAATTCTTATTAGAGTGTAGGGAAAACGACGTGCAGATTCGAAGATGAAGTTATTATGTCATTAAAATAATAATCACGCGAGCACAATGTTGCATTTTAAGCGAGCTTTTAAACGATAAGGTAGTACCTAACTCGTATATAAAATATTCAAGCCTTTAATTATATTTTATTACTGGCCGTAATTTCATGCGGGGATATAGAATTTAAAATTAACTCCAGTATAAACGTATTGTTTTATGTAAATTTTATGTTTCTTTGTTGTGTTAATATTTAAATCAGTTTTATGTCTCAAATAACTATATTAGTAGAATGGCATTCGTGCATCGGAATTCATATTTTAAAGCTCATCAAATGCGGGGTAAGGCACCAACCGACTGGTTACAATATGTCTGGCATAAAACATGTTTAACTACCACCAGACACTATTTATACAGTTTGTCTCGAATCAAATTACACCTACCAAACAATCCTATCAGATGCTCCTTTATTTCAATCATTATATACAGTGCCTTCATAAAGTATTTGATAAGTTATATTGTTCGAAAACCTTTCTTATTTCTGCTAAATGAATTTCAGAGAGGTGCTCATTTTGCAATCAACACTTTAATACCTCGTAAGTTAAACAACCAATGCGGGACGATTCGTTATTTTCGTATAATGTAGCGAGTTAATTTTTTTCCGGCGAAACAGCGCCGAAATTACGATCATCTCGCCCGTTTCGGGTAAATCTAGATATCAAAACGATCTTCGAAAAATCAACAAAACTCGCCTCCCAATTCCAATTATTACGATCTCGAAACGTTAATGAAGTCATTTTCTAGCAAGGCGAAACAGGTTTGAGAAGAGCAGAAGAGCGTTCGACCGGCGAGCGAGCGATCGCTCTCGCTCTCGCTCCTCCGAAGTACCGCCGGGGACCGGCTTTAAGAAATTCACCGCTAGTTGTTAATCGAAAATTAACAATCACTCCTCGTAGAAAATCGAAAAATAACTAATGCTACATAAAAATAGACCATTCAAACACATAATGATATAAGAAAAAGTGGTTAGATTAAGAAGTACTAACTACCAAATGAAATTGTTTCGAAACCGGTCCTAACAGGACGGAGTACTAGGTCCTTTGGAATTTGGAAGCAGGTTGTTTCACTCGAACGGGCTGCGTCGAGGGTCATCGGCAGCCATCGAATAAATTTTTGGTGAGATTCTGTACTGAATTTGAATGCTCTCTTCCATTCCGGATTACTCCAAAATCGAAAAACTCGAATGGACAACTTTAAAGGATTATTTTCGAGTAGGTACCGTCTTATTTGGTCGGCGTTGCGCCATAAATTTCACGTTTATTGGGTATGATTAGTAACAAGACTACCCGCACGTATAGTACTTTTTAATCATACCAATTATGAATTTTTATGTTCTCCGGAATCAGTCCGAGGAACCTCTAATTTCCCAGTGATTTATAATCTTCTTTTCAGGTGCGCAATTACTGTCTAAAGTAAAATAATCGAATAGTTTTCACTGTAAACATTACAAAATACTTTATTGAAGCGCAGAGTGAAGATCAATTGTGTTAAACTTAATTTAAAAATTTTGCTAGGTCCGGATATTTTTCTTTGGGGATCGCACAGTGATCAATGAAGCCGCCTATACGGATAATCAAAAATTTGACGAACGCTAGCCTGTAATTTGCAACAATGTGCCCTCTCATTGTGTTTGTTTTACCTGGTAGAGGCGCTTCGGGTTGTAAAAATGACAGTTTAGCGGATAATTTATGGTCCAGCGTTGCTTAGCTAGTGTTTTAGTAACTAATTGGGGTGATCGTACCTGTTTTCGGATGGATTTTTAAGGATCTGTGAAAAATATCGTCGAGGATTTCTCGAAATTGAGCAACTAAAATTCGCCGGGCCTGATTTACTCGACTGATTTCGTTTCATTGTCGTATCTATGGGAAGTGAGAGATTAAAGGAGAAAGGTAAGTTTTTGATGAAAAGAGGTAATATCTAAATTTTATTCGTTGGCGCCAAGTGTGAAAGATCGCGGTAAAACTTGAAGAAAAAACCGGCTCGAATATAGCGCTAGTCCTTTGTGAAACGACACGCTATTTTAAATTACCCGTCTCATCCACTTGTAATCTTGACACAAAACCTTTTTTTACTAGCCGTGAAATTAGATAAAAACAACAAGAATGCCTTTTGTGGGAAGCTAGTCCAATTTTACATCATCTACCCCGTACCTGACGATTCAATGTTGGAAAAACGGCAGCCGATGAAAATGTCAAGTGAATTAAACAATTCGACCGAGGCCGTTTAGTGGTTGATTCGAATTACTCGTGTTTTTTAAACGGGAGATTTTCGGAAGGTTTTTTTCTCACCGAGTAACCGAATCGCCCGGTAAAATATCGAATTCCTCCGTTGTCGATTTAATTTGGCGGACAACATCCAGCCAATCGACTTTATAGTTCGAGTACATCGATCGTTAATAATAATTTCCAGTTGTAAAATTTTTAATAGCTACATTATCACCTGCTCGAAGCCGTGAAACGTGGAATTGTAATTATCGCTGTGTACACACACATGTTTAATTAAAAAACTACCATAAACGTCCGTTTTCGAAGGCGCATTCGCCGATTTTACAGTATACAATTTTCGACAATCGTCGCGCCTCTCCTCTTCCATAGAGGACGAGGATCTAATGACTCCATTAGTTGTTTATGGTGGAACCATGAGCGGAACTAACCGGCCGACAATAACACCTCATTTTGCGGCAAAAGCTCGAAACAACACAGAGCTCTCTCGCTTCTAATCAACCGAGCGCATCGTCTCTCGATCTTTTGTTATACCGCGAGAAATTTTATACTGATACTGTCCTGATACCCCGTCGAAGGTACTACACCAATCGAGCAGTGTCGTAGTATTTGATTTTTTTAGCAAATCCAATAGAATATCTGCTGCTCGATTAGCACCAGTTCTTTCATTACTGGTACTTTACCTACTCGTTTTCATTGCTTTTGCGTTCGATTTTTCCCCTTGGTTTTTACAAAAGGTGTTGAAGCGTCGACTGTTTAACTAGCTTTTAAAAGACGGCTATTCTACTGGTAATGATTCCACACTTCTTAGTTAGTCGTTGTTCAGCAAGGCGGGTTATACGAGGTGTTAAATATACCTTAGTCATTGTATTAACAATACGGCCGTTTCTTACGCTCGATAACTGTAAGAAACTCGAAATAAGAAAATGCCGAGTGATTTATAATTGAAAAGGATTCGTTTTATTTAGCATGAGTCTCTACATACTATTATTATTGATTTAAAAAAAAATTGTTGTTACTTTATAACAATGTAGATTCGAAAATGAAGCGTTCAAGTTCAAAACTGCCATTAACTTTTGAACGACAAAAAAATCGTAAAACTGACAGCGGAGATAAATTCATTCGGCGTTAAAAACCAACAGAAAACGTTCGCAAACGTGAGTAAAATGAAAATAGTCAGATGAAATGGAGTGACGTTTATTTCAAACTCACACGTTTTACCGTCAGGCTCGAAATATTTAACAGTTTATTTTTACGGGCTCCTCGGATTTTATTTGGTTTCTCCTTTTTTTTTTCTTTCACTGTAAACCGAAGCTTAATAACGTTTTCAGCAAAGCGAATAAGTCGGACGCAATAAAAAGGCGCAATTCTCGTTACAATAAAATTAAGTTTCAACAACAACAACAACAACAGCAACAATAATTTCCTTTGTACAAATAACACAAGGCAGAGTCGGTTTTGGAAGGTCTACTGGCATAACGATTTGTGCAGCAGGAATACACAATAATCCCTCCGAGTTATGCATACATGCAGGTATATAAAATGCTCTAACGATACTCATTTTAATGAGGTTAGCAATTTCCATCTAATCAAGCCTCAACGATTAATCGTAATTTGCTTGGAATTTTAGTTACCAGTTTTTGCCCACAAAAAATGAGAAAACCAAAAGGAGAACTGTCTAATCAAATTAAATCGCAAGCATCGACCGTAATTTCATAATATTTATCACTACGACGGTCGTTTAGTTAACGTTATTATTAATGAAATCGTTGTTTAATTAAGCTAACTCTTGCTCGTTTATACTGTAGTTTGTTTACTTCTTGTTTTCATACATTGGCATCCCAGGTCAATTACAACGGCGTTTCATTGTAAAATTATCAATTACTCAAATTATAACCACATCATCCGTTTCTCAATATTGCTCAGATCTTGCAGCATACATTCGTACTAGTAAATCACGCAGTTGATTCTTTTTGTGGTCGCATTTAAATGCACCACGATCGAAATTATGGCATATACATTATGCGTGTGTGTACTTTAACTTTAGCAACGTTTACCGCCAAATACCGTTTGTGTGTTCTCGGTATTTACCGGCGCATTCTGAGTGTCACGTCATGCGAGAAACTCGACCACTGGAAAAGATTAACAACTAATTTGTGCAAAGCGGATTATGACCATAAATTCCGGTTTCGGTTATATACAGAAGAGAAAAAACGGCTACCCTCTTTACAAATACTTGCTGGATGCATCGGCGATGTCGGGAGATTAGGGAGCAAATGGCGACGGGAATAAAAACCGATGGGACATTTTTAAACCAATGGTTGATACCTCGGTTATCAGCGCTTATAGATACTTGGTTGTTTCTAAAGATTTTAAGGTATTTGTATCAAGAGTTTGTGCCAATTGGTCGATCTAATTATAGAAATGTATGCGGTATCAAAGTAGTTAAAAAAAGGGGGCTGGTAGTGAATTGAATTGTACCGCTAAGTAGCTTATATGATGGCAAAAAGCCCTCTGTTAATAGATGCAAATGACCGGCTCATTTGTCACAAGAGCAAATCCTAAAAGCCACCGTTATTGCCGATAGGGATTAAGGATTAAAAAAGTACAGTAGGTACATGAGTGGCCCGATTTCCCAGCATCATTAAATTTTATGGAATTAATAGTTTTATTGTGCACGAGGAGTATTAATCTCGCCGTATTCTTTACTTATACCTATACGAAGATAAATACTTTGGGCTTCTTCTGGGAGTGTATATTCAGACATCAGCTAATATAAAACGTACAAGAGATGTTATCGACGCTGCGCCGGGTATGATATACCTCGGAAAGGGGGCGGAAACGATATTTTCAATGCCACGCAACCTCATACAATGAATACTTTTTGATTATGATATTAGACACGGTTCTTGGATCTCTCTGATTTTTATCCACGGTATCTGGCATCGTAATTTCGTGTAAAATGTTACACAGTTTATTGCTTTTTTAATGCAGATAATATTTTATGGAAAAATGTTTATTTTAATTTGTATTTTTAACGATCTTTTCTGTTGAAATTAACAATTCTCTTTCCATTACATACGATTAGGTACTTCGATTTTATTCGAAAAGGAAAATAAAGACCCTGGCCTTAGGGAATAGATGTCGATCCTCCAATATCTATTACCGTTCTGGTTAAAAATCACGATATATTTTTTTCTATACCCGTCCTACGGACACCATATAATTTACAAACGAGGTATATCTATTGCCTGCGTCAGATGCTCGGCATCTAACAAAAGGACGCTCCGAAATGATCCCTCATTAAGTTCCCAAAGCCGTTCTTGCCACAAAAATCTAATCTTCTTACCTTATTAGCCCCAGCCACACCGTTCTAGTTTTTAGATCACTCGCTGCGTCAAAAATGACCCACGGACGTGATGAATCCATCATTCACTCTCCAAAACGAAAACCACGGGCGCACCTCCAGGGCCCTACCCCCGTTTCAATTCATCCCCAAATATTCTTTATTTATAATACTTAGCTTCATGCATCTTTATGCAGAATTTCTGAGCTAAATACGTAGGTCTAGAGCAAGTAGGTGTGAATTATAGTCGAGCTTATTCAACATTGCGTATCTTCGATGCGATTTAAGAAAAAAAGTCCATCACCTACGACGCTGGTTTGCATTAATGTATCACTGGAGGGTCTTAATGAGGAAAGCGATGATGGGTTTGACTACAGTTCTGGTTAGAAAACATCTTTACGGTGGTTTCCCACGTGCTGCAACGACGGTGGTGCCCTTTCACGTCCCCCACGCATACACACGTTCGCTCACACGTGATGATTATATCAACGAAATATGGCCGAGCATGATATCTGCCCTCGATGAGATTTACCGTTCATCAATTAGATTCAAAATATTTAAATAATTCCTCTATTAAGTGTACTTGTTTGGTAGATTTTTCTAGCACGAAAAGTGATTATCTACGTGGCTTTTTGGATAAAAAAATCCGCTTTATAGAGTGGTGGTTTTGACGCGCGTTTCGAACGCCATCGTGACTCTATTAGCATACATAAAAGCACCAGAAATTGCGAGTTCTCGGATTACGAGAGCCCTCGAGGGACGAACGCAAATGAAGACGACAACAATGGGCCAGGATTGGCAGTTGAGTCGGACATTTCTGAAACGAGCACGCGATGTAACACTCGCATTGAATTATTCACTACCGTTTTCGATCGGTTGCGGCGGAGGCATCGCATCAAAATATCCGAGCGTTATTTTTTTTTTCGAAATTAGTTCGACTTACCGACGATGAGAGGTAGATGCGGAATGAATGAAGACGTTAGAGACACATCGATTCGGGAACAAAGGGGCTCCATCCATCCATGACAATGCGTGAATGCGCCTCTCGCTCCGCAGGCTCGGGCCCCGGCTCATTTTCCTTTGTAAATCGTAAAATACATTTGTGTCAAGGAGGGATAGTTAGGCCGAGATTCTTTCAAATCGAATACCAAGAAATTTCTTTTTGGAAAGGATCTAATGGGTGAAACAAACGGCTCGTCTCGCGCCGGGGAAGAAAACTCCAGTGCGCTTTCTTCAGAAAAAAAATTCGACGCGAAACTGTAATTATATCGGGCGCATTTTGGATGGGGAATAAACAGATCTCGATTCCATTATTTTACACGTTAAAGCGATGCCGTCGAAAAATCGTTAGCGTTTCGGTTCTTTTGAGGCGCCTTATTCAGACTGAAATGACACTCCAGATTGTTACCTCACCTTATTATTATTATTATTTTCGTGTTTGGTATGCTTGTCAGTTACTAAAGATGACGATGTCCTATATTAGTCCAAGCGGTACTCGGATTTTTCTCTTGTAAAGAATCTTATTTTATCTATTTGTTGTCTCAAATAAGCTGGTAAAACTTTAACTAATATCCAATAATCCGTTCGATTTAGCTGATGGTATTAAATATATTAAAAAATTCGAAGCACCTGCTGAAGTAAGGTAAATAAATTACCAGGGATTGCATGGTAGATGGAAAGCAGGAAAGCAGAAATCATGTGTAATAAATAACATGATACCCGGCGATTAATTTCTAATGGTATACAAGTTATAATTACTTGATCAACCGGAGATCATCTCGATAAGGCGCCCCCTAATTCATAAACGATTTCGGTATTTAATGGCGAAGGAGTGAAAAAATGCCTTTTGTATACAGCTATGTAAAAAGTGATTGGTTTGAAAAAATTAATTATAATGTATTACGTAATAAATTTTACTAATTAACTTTATATTAAACCTTCGTAGTTTCGTGTATAAAATTCTGTATCCAACACACCTGCTCACAGGGTCCGACAAAAGTGAACAATACAAAAAAAAAATCGTGCAAACTTTTCGCTCAATAAAACCAGAAGTAGCCTCTCATTTCGACTTCCAAACGAACACACACGGTATATAATCATCGTTATTGCCGAAAAATCAATCATAACAGTAGCTGCTGGTTTGTTTAACGACTTAATTTTTACACAGCCTGCATACGATTCAATAAATACACGTTTGTAATACGCGTAATTAATATTGTAATATTTTCGACGTTATTGTATTGCGAAGAAGATTGCTCGGTTATTAAAAGCTAGTCAAAGTGTCGTTAGTAAAACCTACATTTCTTATGATCTGAGTAGTGGGTGTTAATTGTATACTTGCCTGTTATCGGCATAAAATCATTAAAAGTAGGTGCTCACATCATCCAGAATAAAGCTTCGAAAAATTAATAATCACTTGAATTCAAGTCTACCGAAATTTACTGAAATAATAAAACCAGCACAGTTAAACTGTTAGGACAACTAAATACAACTGGAATAATATATTTACACATCAATTACTCTGGCTGTTATCGCTCTAGATTCTCTTTCGGTCTATCGGAGTGACTTTCAGCGGTTCAAACACCGGTCCCCGGCGGCCGTTCGCGTACGTGTATATTTGAATAGAGGACAATTCCCGGGCTTTGGCCAGCTTCTGATGCTCCGGCTTCAGAGTTAATCGCAGCGATTTGGCCGCTATGTGCGAATAGAGGATGTAACTGAAATTTTCAAAAGCGTTCGTTAGTCGTGGCGTCGAACGCTGACCCGTTATCACTTGCTTTATTTTCATGTTCCTCAGCAGCGGATTCTGGAGCATTTCGAAAAAAAATGTAGATGGAATTGTTCACGAAATAGATTCACAAAAATATTATGTCACTTGTGACGTGATGAATTTCGAATTATTTGTTTCTGGGGTTACCTGAATGGGGAAAGATTCTTTTTTTATAAATTTTTTGTGATAGATATACGAAGTAATTTAATTGGAATATCTACTGTATTTCGGAACGTGTTCTACTTTTTAATGATGTGTAGCAATGCAAATTTCACAAACCGCATTTCTCCAGCGATTTGCGTTAACGACGATTTAAAAAGCTAAAGAGGTTCCTCGCCGAACAAGCGCAAAGTGACTACCAACCACTAATAAAGATGCCCATTTGCATAAAAGTGCACGCTACGGTTAACGACCCAAAAAAAAAGCGTAACTCGTTCGACCTTCTTTATCGTCTTCTTTCTTCTACTGACTATCTTCGCAATTATTTAATCCCGTTTATATACAAATACTCCGAAATGCGGCGCAACGATTACGCAATAAAATCTAATAACACAATCCGCCGATTTCGTGTATAAATTATTAATGACACGAAAAGAATCATAAACGATAACACTTGTTAATCGGTATCTCGACAACGGATCTTCGCAATTAAAGAATACCCACCGTTGCTTAATTGTAAATAACAACGCGAGTTCCTTTTTTTTATTAACAGCCAAATGGAAATCATATTCCTTTTCGACGTTATCGGTATAATTGGCTTTTTTAATTATAATTGTCTTTCTTAATTATAATTGTATCAACGCTTATTAAAGCTAAGCTTCGCGCTAATCGACAATAAATTAAGATGATAATCTTCGGGATCCATCTGTTCGCGATCAACTAATTAGAAGTGGTAGGATAATTAGGCTAAATTAAGATTGTTTTATTACAATATTGATGCATATTTCACTACTTAATTCGACGCAATAAATAAGAAAAATGAAAGCACCAACAATTGCTTCTTGATATCATATCCATAAACTCTATATAGTGAATAATTTCAATATGAAAGATAGCCAATAAAATCGTTTAGATGTCCATTGTTGTGATAGAATAAGAATCGATACAGTAGTGGTAATATATATAAAGGGAAATTTGACCGCAGTTTTGCCACCTTTAATCATACCGTTGACCACCTCGACCGAGCGATTTTCTCTCCTAATTCGCAGGTGGATATCCCGGTGATAGATTCGAGGAAGCGATCGGTCACGGTCCGCGTACAAAGAACGGGCGTCCAACAGGTATTAGATACCTTGAAACGAGTGCGGAATCGAACACAACGCGCCTTTGTCACACGGCACACAGGGTGATTTATAGATAGGGAACATGGCCGCGCGTCCGAGACGCTAGATTTATACCGACAGCGTGGAAGTAAACAAAGATGTTAAAAAGTCCGAGTTGCGCGCAGGTAATAATCGTAAATTCTCGAAATAATGAGGAGTTCGAGTCGAGTTTTCGGGGATTTGTCGAAGGTGTCGGTTTCACGGGAAACATTTTTTGGTAGGATTCGAAATTCGAAACCGAACTGGTATTATAACGATTCCTTTTACTGGAGGTGCCCGTGAGGAATGCGGTAGTACCTACCCAGAAAGTTTCTTTTATTCCAACGTTCTATGTTCTGTTATGAATTCACCAGATATACAAAATGTGAATATTTATTCATTTAAATTATTATTTCAGCGTACAGGCTATTCATATTCATCAATAGAGTCAACAGACCTTTTAATAATCTCATTTAGTGTATTCAAAAAAATTTCAAATATGAATGAACCGCATTCTTCTAGTTATCGCACCGTTGCTTGTCTCCTTAAAACATTACATGTAGTTTCATGAGCTTTAGTATAAACTAATCTTTCGTTGAATAAACCCGACGTTATCGACTTTCTGGTATGGCATTTCACCCGAAACGGAAGTCATTAAAAGATTTGGGTTGTCTAGTCACTTGCTTTTCTCGAACATCGGATATCAGAACCGAATTTCCGCAACATGTGGCGCACAAAAACCATCCATCAATGTTTTTCGGTAACAAGTGAGGATTTATTAACAAGGCTCAAAACTTTCACAACGTCGCGCCGCCATTAATTACTGGATTATTCACGTTTGAGGCGCATGAAGTTTTGCTCCTGTTAAAAATTGGTCGCGTTAGGTGTGAAGGTGAGGCTTTTCGAAACGTAAAATCGCACGCAAAATTCGTTCTCTGCGGGTGCTCGAGCTCTACAATACTCGAAAAAGTTCTATTGTTGGACGAAAGTATAAAATTTTCGAATAGCGTGTGGACAAAAAGCGGGACGAGTTGAAATGATGGCAGTTCAGAAAACCGTGAAAATGGATTAGTATACTAATTCAATTCATCAGTTCTCGCATAATCGCCTATTGTAGGTACTCTTCAAGCTCGAATGTGGAGAGTATACTAGAGAATTTAACGCACTTATGTATGGTACCTATCTCTCTATTCTTTCAATTTTTTTTATAATCATTCGAGCGGGCATTTACTGTAGTTAACACTTAACTAATCAATTATTTTATTCAATAATCGTAAAGTTTTCGAGAAAATTAAACAACGATTCTTCTTATTACTATGTATAGCGAATTAGTCATATTTCAATGATTTTGTATGCGCCTTTATGACCTGCGAACATAAAACGTCCGCTTCTACGCGTTTCTTTCGAATAAAATCCTGTCAGGTGCGGTGTCGTCGTCTATTAAGTCATAAATTAGCAGCATCGAGATAAATTTAATTAACATTTTTTTCCTTCAATTCGGTATGGGATGGCATAGGTGCATCTATTCCATTACCAACAAAGTCGCTTGTCACATTATCGCATTAAAATTTTCATCCTGTTACGGGTTACCAAACGTAAATATTTTCATAGGAAGATTTGTCACACTTGCCGCCGAATCCCCTTCTCGACAGGGAGATTATTGTTTATGAATTTTCGACACATGTTTCGAGATCTCCGCCATCAGTCATGTCCACGGTTTTTCGGTTGAATCTCCGCATTTTTATTTCGAATTGGGTGAAATCTCGGCACCGGCAGCTGTGACATGTTTATTAGCGAGAGTTCCGAGAGATCTGGCTTTCTCGAAAGATGATTGATGATGTGAGAGAGTTCTCCGTAGGGATAGATCAAAGGGATTAATAAAGTACGCCGAGCATTTCGTGATAAATATGTAGCGAATTTACAAACACACACACACACGCGCAAGGAGACTTCTTAAACTTTAAACCATTACAATATATCGTTGTTGTACCTACGTATGTGTTCTTCGTAGCCACATAAATAAATCAAAACGAATAACAAACAATACCGAGCGAGTTCAAGAAACTGTCCCAAGGTCTCTAATCTAGCTCAGATTGAAAGAAGCAAGAACAATATAACATGTTAGTAGCCCTTCGAACTGGTCATAAATCAAATTCCTGCATTGCTTAATTCCAATAAGGAAAACGCACCGTGCGCATACGAGGGCGCATCCAAAAGAATGCATAAATTAGGCATGTAAAATAAACATACAGTATGTACGAACTGATCCGCTGCAAGCATATAATGAGAATAATGAGATAGCTAATTTAACTTTTGCTATGTAAGGAATAAAGAGAACATACGAAATAGTCACGCCCGCTATCCCCGCTATTCGCTAGTGAACGAAGCGAAGCGAATTGACGAATTCTAATATCGGCCGGCAACCGATAAACAAGTTTCTGTTCTTTACTATCTTATAGTATTGATTGAGATTCTAATTCTAACGCTTGCAGCGGAAGAATTCGTACACTCTGTATACGGGGTCCAAAAGTGTATGAAATTGAAAGGTTGATTTGTTGTAAAAAACTCATTTTTATTCCTATTAATATGTACTTCATTATTTAAAACAATATAACAATATTTTTGTAAAAATACGGGAACAATCAATAGCGGGTACATTTCATGTAATTACCTACATCATGAAATTAAATATAAACTGCTAAAATATAAAATTATTAACCAGCATTCAATCTATAAAATGAAAGACCAACATTGTTATATGATTTGATAGGGTCATTGTAATTTGCAATGCACCCTCGTATAAAAAACAGTTACACAATTAGTACTTGATTGTGCATTATAACCAATAATGTTTCTCATAAAATTACTCGAGTGAGGCATTCATCATAAACTGCTCTAATCGGCATTAACAAATACACGATTCGCCGATACTCCCATTAACGTTGAAACTTCTCCAAAGGGGATTTTCCTCTTCCAATCCAATGCCGATCCCATCGAATAATTAAATTAACTTTGCACACTTAAATTTGAAGTATATCCACTTTTGTTTTCGATCTCTATTAAAAACCCATCTAGCATTCGAGTAAAATTGATTTTATAGACGTTGTGAATTGACAAAGTGCGTTTTTGGCGTATAAGAAAAAGTATAAGTAGATTGGACATGGTCGGGATAACAATTGAATTTGTAGTGGTAGATCAAAAGATAGATAAATACAGATGTCGGTGGTGTCGAAACGAAGAATAAAAATTTCTACGGCGGATTAAACTGTTAAATTAGTTATTTCTGGTTAACAGTCGAATGGAATCCGATGTTTTCCATCGAATTGCCACTACTAAAAACGATTTATGTATAACAAAAGTGGTTGTGATAGTGCAAGTTTTGTAAAATTCAATTCCTAGAAATTTTGTTAAATTTATTAAATTAATAAGTAGGTACTCATAAATGCAAAAGAATGAAAATCTTCAATTCTCCTCGGTAAATCGTAAAACGTATTTCGTCGTTTTCATTGCAGAGTATCGCATTTAAATTCGCGTTTTTAATATAATTTCTTATTTAAGTAAACCCGATTGTAATTCGTATACATTTTGGAGAATCAGTTGGGTGGTCGAGAGAAATGAATTCGAAAAAATTGCATGTTGATGTAGGATGCGAATATGAAATTTACATGTATACTTCGAAAAAGCCGAAAAACAAGTCGAAATGATATAAATCACGCATAATATCTTCATGTAATATCGCCCCATTTGAAGTAGAAATTTACGGTTATAAATTATTGGTTTTTGAACAACTCCTCTCACATTTGAAGAATGTTATTTTCAATTTACATCACAATTTTATTGTCATTGTCAATCTCATTTAAAATATGCTCAACTTTTACATTTCAATGAAACACCTTCTTTATCAACGTTTTCATGAAACACATTGCCTCATTCGAACGAAACGAGCCGTTAATAATAAATTTATTTGATACACTTGTTTATGTCACTAAAAACGAATCCGATTAATGTTGAATTACATTTCCTTTCCGCGATAAATCAAAAGCGTACGACAGTCTCGGTAGTGTTGTCAGCGAGAACAAACTAATTTATGTTTATTTGATGAAAATAGACGTAAGAAACCCCTCTCGTCGAGTTTTATTACATCTTTTTTTTTTGAATCTTCGTAACAGCCAGAAGATGAAGGCAGGTTACCGGAACAAACAGTAGCGTGTGCCTAAGTTTTAGTTCCCTTTTGCTAAAAAAATCTTGTTAAAAATAATTTGGTATACCTAATTAAATGAAGTGGAAGATTTTAAGATTTTGTAGAGGTTTGTTTGACTTTAATAAAATCATTAGCCATTTCGCAGTGGACAATTTACCAAATCTCGACGATGCCAAATTTCTCCAAATATCCACCAAACTAAACACACTCGAAAAAACCTTTTTGTTCCACCCTAGTACGCGCATCTTTATCTCACAATAAACGCGTGTTGGGACCAGATGCGAACCACAGTCAAATATATATTTCACCAGTAATGACTTCCTGCGGAGAGACAATTATATACCTTTGAACGCGAAGAGGCGACTTTCGAATTATGAGCGGAATGACGAGGCGCATCTTCCCTTATCTCAATCGATGGATCGTAAACAGCGTGCGAATATCACCGCATCCCATGCATACAAGGCAAAAAATAATAATAAATTTCTATACCTATACACCCGTTTATGCGCATAAAACACTAATGAAGAAGATGACTATAAAAAAACCCGAAGCAATTCCTAGATGTTGCCCGATAAAAAAAGTCTCTCCTTAAGATACAAATAACAGTAAACACACCATTATCGAATTAATTCTCCTCACCTGGACGGTGCCTCGCATGATCCCTTTTTCCTCTTCGCTCTAATCTCACCACTCGACGTCGGTCCGGAAGACGTTCGTCGCATTGTTCGCACCCTTTTCCGATGACTGATGCCTTTATTAGGACAATTTAGAACCCTCCGGGGTTATTGTTGCGGATTACCGAGCGAAATGCCCGTGGGGAAGCGGCGTGGATGTGCTTTAACGAGGGGTTTAGTGGGCACAAAATTGTGATGAGTAATTTTCGCCGGATCAAAGCTAATTTTAATGAAAATGGAAAGGTGGATTTGTAGGTAAAATAATATATGGTAAAACATATTCCATATGTTCTTAATTTTTGTCTCAGACTCACTATGTGTACTTGCTCTATTCATCTTTAGATGAAAATACAATGGAACATTAGGCTACCATTATTCTTATTTATATACCTATAGATGAGCGTTGGTATTTAAATTTGTTGGAAATAACCGTAATCAAATCCGATTTGGTTAAAAGAGACAATACCGAGTTAACCCGTTAAGCGATATACACCTCTAGAAAACCGACTTCCTTTTGTATCGGGCTCCACAGGTCCTCTAAACAACAACGGGCTATCGTGCTGGTAGTGTTTTATAATCAAAATTACCGCATTATTTACCGGGATTCCAAAGTGCCAGGGCGGAGCGGTCTTTTCTTCGCCGAAACAATCGCGAAGGGGTTGATAGAAAAAGAACCGAACGCCGATACGTTTTCGCATGGATGATCATTTTCAACGCAATCGGAAATTTGAATGACCCATTGTTTTAGAAATGGAAATTGCGCGCATTAACTTGTTTTGATTTTCGTCGGTTTTTGTGCAATTAGTCCAGCTTGTGCCACGCCCAATGGGATTATTCATGTTTCAACGCACTCGAATGCGTACTTCACATGTTACCTAACGATCGGCGATACCACTAACTGGGTTCATTCATTCAAATTAGATCTTATTATTTTAATTGTCGAAGGTATAAATGTACCAAGCGTCGTAGAAAATGCCCAACAGTTTCGCCTTTCATGCGTTATATATACAAAAATAAGTTCGTTTGGGATAAACAATAGTACCTAACTCGAGTTTGCTTTATCGGGCAAACCATTAAAGCGAGTTACATGCTTATTAAACCTACACGGAACGTCGGAATTAGTTGTTAAGCGCGACACTGGAGACGCTTCGGTATTCACTTTTAGTCGACGTCTAGGTCCCATAAATCTTGGGACGGCTCGCGGTCGCGTCCATTTTAAAGACAATCAACGGGGCCCGAACCACGGCCGTGTTGGCCGCAAAGCGCAACCAAAGTCAATGTTGAACTAACTATCTATGAGGTAATCTTACATAAATTCCTTCGATGAACGCAAACTAATTCATTGAATATAACCAACCGATACGCAGTGGTGTATCTGATCGATCTAATTGTAGCGATAAAGTAGAAAGGGGTTACCTAAGTGGTGGAAAATTGGTTGGATTAATCACCAAGAGTGATATTTTAAGCTAAAATATTTTTGGGATCATTTCAAATCCATTAAAAATATATGACTGAGAAGAAGATATTCGAGTACCTACACCACTGGCATTCCATACGTTATATAGCAGTACCTCGAACAATGGTATACGTTATTAAATGATTTACGGCGGCGAAGACGCTGAGAAGGAACACAACCAGAAAATGTCTTCATTTGCTATCTATTCGCAGTTAATTATTCGCCATCCGTCCAATTATTACTCGGATAATAAATCGTAAATATCTTTTTATTGACTATTGTGTTGAGGTACTCCTGGTAGAGATAGATCGATAACACTCTATTATTCGTTAAAATAGTACCCTATTGAGAACCATCAGCTTGTATTTTTAACGATGGTATTATACATTTTACAACTACTAGAATTCACCAATACCGAAAATTTAAGTGGGTCACGCACGTTTACCCCATATAATACGAAGGAAGGTTATTTTAGAGAGTCATATATGAGCGATAATTATACAAGGGGGGAAAGGTGGGCCGCCACATGTACACCTGCTCGCTATCGCGACCAATGGAAAAGGAAACCGAAGACACCGAAGTCACGCCTTCACCATCGGAGGACTCGTTTCTTGCACGAAGAATAAACATACATAAACAGACACTATGATGGGTCGATCGAAGATGATGTTGCATATAATTACCTTACAATGTGCAACTATTATTCCAAATTAATCGAGAACTAATCATAGTGAAATGAAGTCGGAAGGTTAATTACCATGAGTTATTTAATCACAAAAACCGAACGTTAGTAAGTAATTTTTTTTGAGCTGTAGTTGCTCCGATTGAAGAATTGATGGCGAGAATAAAAATTGCCCGGGAAAATTATAGGCAATAACGGCAATCGTAAATTCGATAAATGACTAAACAAAGGAAAAAAGTCGATCGCAATGGAGTTTAATGAAAAAAACTTAAGAGGCTACATAAATAAGGATTGTAGAAGAAAACGGTCAATTAGTGCTCGCCACTTAGTAGCTATAAATGTTTAGTGTTCTACTATATAACAGTTTTTTTAAGCTAGCACTCGTACGGATTTTACTCACAAAAATTGCAAAAAAATCCTAATGATATCCCCTTTTAGTTCCACGGAGAATAGACGGATTAATGTGCGGGAAAAATAATACGTAAAATAGGGCACGCCCTGTTAACCGCTAAATCCCTTAATCCGACATGTTCCCCATACGACTTCGGGTTGTTGTTTCCCTTTGGGCCGTAAAATATATACCCGTGCACTTTTGATTTCTTTCATTGATATAGAAAAGCTACTGCGTAAACCGCTAATCCCTCATTGCCAGCTGGTTGGGAGTTTCTGCTGCGATAACTACAGGGTGAATGTTACAACTTAATGTTGCAACAATCTACTCCGCTCTTTTAGCAACACCTTCAAATTTGACAAAGAAGCGGTAAGGACGAAGACCAGCGGCAAAAATAACGGCATGTAGACCGACTTTTTATCCTCTTCCGGAAAATACTGCATGGCCAGTAATGAAGGATCGCCGAAAGCGCTTTCCGAATTTTCGTAAGCCACTTTGGCAGCTTTCAAAGCTTCGTCTACTCTTCCTTCCTTCGAGAAAGTTTCTCCATCTTCGAGCGCTTTTAAGGATCTCCTGATTTTGCGTCCCACGTCCTCGCTGATGACGATGTTGGCTATTTCTGATAGGAGTTTCGCCAGAGATTTTAAAGTTCTACGCGTTGATGCCAACATTTCTTGGGCTTTTCGGTGCTTGAATTCGTGCAGATTTTGAATGTCTTTAATGTCGAAGAGGTGTTGTATTTCTGTGACAATTGCGGATATAATGTGATTTAATTCGAATGCAGGGTATCGACAGGATTTTGAGTCTGGATTGAGTATGTGGATACCGCCCCACGAAGGACTCGAGAATGCGTTACTGGGTACTCGCGTGTTGTTATCATAATACAAGTAAATCGGTGGTTTATCGCAATTTTGGAAGTAGATAACGACATTTATGGTCGTCCTGTTGGATAAATGAGTCCTCAATTGCGATTCTAGCGGTGTAATTATATGAGGCAACTGATTTTCACTCAAAGCATATTGCTCCGACATTTGTGCCAACGGTATTTTCAAATCGGGTACATGAACACATTGAGACTTGAACACAACATCGAAAACGTCTGAGAAATTCCGCAGGATCGCGTACAAATTTTCTTCGATTTCTTCCACTGTCTTTGCAACATCAGAACCCAATGGATCGGAATGAACCAGGGACAACAACACATCGTATTCCAGACTCAAAGGCATTCCCAACGATTTCGTTTGGTAATGATTCGATTCCAAGTTTTGCATGTCGGATAGAGGTAATGATGCTCTATAAACTCTCGTCGTGCACCACCATAAAGGTACGCCGATCACTAAAAATACCACGATGTACGAAATCGATATGATTATTCGGGTATTTATTTGGTCGATTTCTTCTCGGTTTTCTTGTTTTGATTGCGACATCGTTGCTTTAGATTATTATTTGAAAACGTCAAGTTTTGACAAATTTATTTGAAGGTTGATTGACAATATATGGATGAGCTGGGAGATATATCAATTTATTGTTTCATAGTTTGATTGATTCATTTCAATCATTGTCCAATCATTGTTCTCAATCGTCTTTGTAGACTATAGAGTGGTGGTATAAAAAATCCGCTAATTAGAGTTGGAAAAAAAAGGTACTCCAGTAAATCCGAAGCGCAATGAAGTTTCTTAGAAACGGCATTATCGCCACAAAAAAATCTCGTTCTCGTCTACTGTTAAAATGCTGCTCACGCGATATTCTCGCGGTCACGGCGAAACGCCGAAAGGGCGAAAGGTCGCCTAGAAAGCGGCCAAAGACGAAAGACAGAAAAGATGATATCTCCATCGAAAGTGCTCCTGCGACGCGCAAGCCATGTCCGAGAACTCGTTCTTATTGTCCTTTACGACGGTAGTCACACCAAGAAACGCGAACGGCCGTTGTAATTTCATATTATTATGCCCGTCGACTCGGCGCGAATGCGTTTCTATCCTCTTTTGTGGAAGATAACGCCGAGATGCAACGATATAACTCGGATTATCTACGGGTTTTCGTGGGTAGGGGCGTATGCTCTTTTATGTAAGTACCTACGTTCGAAACGATACGACAGTCAAAACAATAATTTTACTACTATTTTCTTAAGAGCAATGTTAATATTATTCAGTATGGGTAAAAGCGTGGTCGTTTGTAGGTAGGTTGGCATCAAAATCAGATTCAAATCGGCTCGCATTTGTACATATAAGTATAAAAAACCGTTTGAGTGGATAACCCTCTCAAAGGTGCACCGCGTTTGCTGAAACACTTAATTGGTGTGGTCCATAATTAACCACCCGCGAGCACCTGCGGGTTTCTTAAAAAAAAACGAAATACCCGAAAAAATAAGAAACAAATCAACCAGTTTCTAAGAACGCTCATATGTGTGTATAAGTGCCGACCATCGCCAAAACAAAGTCAATAAATTATCTCTTCTAATAAGCCCGAGATCGCTTCGAATTTTTCGGCCACTTCCAGGGGCGGAATCGTTACCTGAACGATCAATTTTTTGCTTCTATTATGAATTGGATGTGAAGATTTCTACTGCAGATGGGATAGAGTTGAAAATTGAACTCTTAAAATCACGGCCCTAAAGGACATTCGCGCTCGCTAGGCAATGATGTCACAAGCCAACCTTTTGCAACGTTGCCGGGTTGAAATGAAAATTTTGATGTGACAGATATATTTAATTTAACGTTATGTTTCTTTCATTGTTTAGAAATTAAAAAGAAGAAATGCCTTAGGCTGCAATCCGATTGACGGCAGAGGTGTTTATTTGCAACGCTTCACAACCCTCCAAAACAGAAATATACATTTAAAAAACTATTCATAAGTTTAAAACATTACCTATAAATTTCAATGTGCTGGACTATCGAAAATATCGATCTGTATTTATTGAAAATTGGTAATAATGATTGTAAACTATAGTACTTACGTCTCATGTGGAATTAATAGGGAAAAAAGGGCCTTCATCGTCCCGTTCCCTCTCAAAATAGATCGAAAAACACCGAAAATCGCGGTTGAAACTGTCGATAAATGTACATAAACCGCACGAAAAAGTATCTACAACGCACGAAAAACTATTTAGTACGAACGAAAAACACAAAACCTACTCGTAAACTTGAAAAAATACAGGAAAATCGCACAAAAACAACAAGTTGTAGTCATAATCTGTCAAAGTGTCAACTACAAAGCTCCGCTAAATGTTGCGAATGTTGAGACTCGATTTTGTTTCGTGAATCCAACCCTGCGCGCGGTTTTTCATTCCACAGTCGGATGAAGCCATTATAATCATTTATGTGTTTATGTTAACATCTTTTTAGCATATTTTGTGTGCGAGAAAACACTATTAATAATTGCCTTGCGGTACGGCCGGTGAAAAGGAGAGGAAAAAAATTCGAGGTAGTAGGTCTCGACGGGTCTCGGGCCTTGATTCACAAATTCTTTTTTGGTTCTAAAGGCGGTTTACTAGGAAGCGAAATTTATTTTATATCACACTCGTTTATTCTTATTTCAATATTTCGTCACAATATAATTATACTTATACTAATCCAATGAAAACGTTTAACTGGAATGAAATTATTCAAGAAATCACAATAAAAATATAAGCTTCTAATCACAACAGTAAAAAGTAAAGAATGAGTTGGTTTATTTTGGTGTTCCTGCGACGATGGCACTTTCAATGCCGCAATGGTTAGATCCTCTGAGTATTTTGAACAAACCATTATCGCCCCAATCGCTATTCCAGGAGTTTGCAATTAACCAATAAGGTACATTCCCTTGTACACCCCAACCCAATACACGTACAGCATGTCCTCCTAACACAGACCCTTGGACATGTTGATAAACACCTACAAAAGAAACAAACCTTAGAAATATAGGGCCGTGGTTTCATGATAGTGAACACTTACCAGACTTGTAACTGAGGAAATCTGCGTATACAGTAAAGGCAGCTTCGACCGGTCCGTTCTTCATTATTTCTGTTTGAATTTGCTGGACGTTGCTGCCGATATAGTACGCTCGGGAACCGTAACTTTTGTCCTGATTGTAAGGAATAGAGTAGGAACTTTCGCATTTTTGCAAGCATCTCGGCGTGTTGCTCATATGACCATCACAAGGTGGTCGGGTCCCGCTCGTGTGATGCTCGCAGGGCGGTATCTCGTATGGTCGACAACCCTGCAAATTATATTAAAATACTGAGAATTTATTATTTTATTTGATAAAAAAGAACAAATTTCCAACACCATTTTTAGACTATATTTCACCGTTGTTAGAGGCCACACTAACGAGAAGTTAGCTACGCATGTTAAACGTCAAACGTCAAGTATGTCATTTTAGATACAAATATGTGAAAATTAAAAGTAATAATAAGTATCACGCATTTGCAATTAAGCAATTATTCATTAATGAAGCTCATTAGCAATAATTAGGAGATGAATTATGCACATGTCCAACGCGTAAGAAAATTATACAAGACTCTGCTTAAATTGCACAAGGGTCTGCCCGAAGAGCTTCAGGCCGTAGGTACCAATTATGCAAGAGATGAATTTAAAAGGCATAAAAGTTGTAGCGATAAGGAAGCCGAAGTGTTTTTGGACGAGTGGACGGCAAGTATTTCTATTTTCTCTAATATCGTTGGTAATTTTGTATATTAACAGAAATACGCAGTAACCCTAGCTCAGCAACTGGGCTTGAGGGGTCCGAAAACTGGCACCGAGAAGCTAGGCATTCAATTAACCAGAGACGAGATAGAGAATCTAAGAGACGACCAACTTTGTCAGCTGTACGAATTAATGGAAGAGGCCAAGAAGCCTAACATCACAGAAGATGTCAATAAACTTCAATAATCGCCTTATAGGTATTGCGGCACGTTATAAATTGCACATGCTCTTCAAGACAGAAAAGAAGTATGTAAGTTGTTAATCGTTGATGTATTTGGTAATAAATTAGTTTAGGTAAATACCGCCAACTTACTTGTTGGGTACCGTATTGTCCTCCGGAAACGAGGCCTTTTCTGACCCAGTAGTTCCAAGCAGCCCCTGGATAACCTCCGTTGCAACCCATACCGCAGGTCCAACAACAGGATACTAAGTCATCGGATGAAACGTGGAAATGGGTGGTAGCATTGGAATGAATGCATATTCTATCCGACATTGCCTCGACTGCTCCGAATGCCTGCATTAAATTATGTTGAGTAACTAGTAATTAACGTATTTTGGGCATTATTGAGGAATTTAACTTTTTGATGAATCCATTTTGTTTACTAATGGAGCGATTTTATCTATCTGTGTGTGTTTGTCATGATGTTGTTTCCTTGATTGTGGTATTGTCGAGTTTTAAAGGTGATTAATACTTAGACATTTAAATCAAAAATGACTAACAAAGTGTATTCAATAAAAATAAATAACTAATCTCGAATACAAGACCACAAACAAGTCAACAAATCTACTGATTATACACAAATAATCATCGAGCCTAGTTATTATTAAAAATTAATTGTGCAGATGAAAACTAGGTCAATAATCAGTTGTTATTCAGTGATTAATATTGCCAAATTTTTAAATTCTTGCGCTCGATAATGCTCCAGAATTGCAGAATGTCTTTGTATCGAATCCAATAATAAACATGAAAAATACTTACCCAACATGAACCGCATGACCCTTGATCTCTAATCTCTTGTATCGTCGGGCAATTTTTCCATTGCTCTCGGGCGTCGAAAGCCGTGGGCAATTCGACGCCTTCTAGATCGTGCGTAAGTAAAGGAGGCATGTAATTCTGGTGATCGGGCAATACGCCCATTAAATTTTTCAAGTATGAAATAGGAATGTTTTCCGCGAAGTTGCGTCCTGCTGTCCATGTGGATTGGGCTTGGTTGATTCTATTGATAAATTCATCGGAGAGTAGATGAATGTCATCGGGACGTTTCGTTGTTGTTGAGGCAGACGAATAATAAGTCGAGGCCAAAATAAACGTGAAAAGGATGGATAAATTCATCCTTAACTGTAAAGGAAATAAAGATAACTAGGAATTCTTACACGTAATAAATGTTATCTAAATAATTTAGAAATTATAATTTTTTGAATGTAAAATTCAGGTGTATTAAAGAGGGATATTGCGTTTAAGAGTACTTAGTAGGATAATCAAATGTAAAATATCATTTTAAACTTACTCAATTATGTTCTTCTTGCAATATTAACACACAAAAAGAACTATTTTGCTATTGTTCAATGTTTATTTACGAGCTGATTTATATACAATTATTGTTGACATTGACATTAGATTGACAATACTGAAGTTGAAACTTCATTCTCCAGTCACTTATATTAGGCAACCAATTTTACACATTAAAAGTGAAGTGCCGTCTAACGTCACATTGCATAAACAGCAACCAATTGATTACAGGTTTCTGTAAATCGGATATGAAAAATTTGGCCACTATAATTATATTTTTTTGCATCTAATATTTTTAAAAATAAAAATAATAAAAAACGTAAACATATGGACGTATATTTATCTTCATAATTCTTACATGTAATTTTTTACATTTAAGCGCTGTCTATTAACAGATTTTATACATTTTTTTGCAAAACAATAAAAAACTATACATTCAGGATATTACATTTTGTTTTCGAATATTCCAAAGAAAATAATAAAGTTAGAATTAATCTAGTAGCACCTTAGGAATATTATGAGTAAAGGTAGTACTATTTTAGTTCTAATCTTTCTTTCAATTAATTTTCACATCATTACAGGAATCTAATTAAGTTAATTAACATTCAACATTGAAACTAAGTTAAATCGGTAGATATTAAAATTATCATTCGAAAGTAAAACGTTCAAAATGTTTTTTTTGTAACATTTTCAAAATGTTTATTTTCTTTACTTTTACCTACTTTTGTTATCGGGATCTGAAATTTTATTAAAAAATATTTATATTATGTAAGTCGACTTTGTTACGCTAGAACTAGGTTTTACATAAAATAATAAGTTATGTCGCTAGAATTTTATTGAATCCTGGAATATAATCAGAATTCGAGCGGCATTTTTATTTTTTAGTGTATCCAGAACACTTCCACCAAAAATTGCAAAATCGTGGACGTTCCGCGAGGCCACCAAAATTTTATTGAATTTACAAAAGGTAAAAAATTCGTATTTTATCGCTAATGTTCGTCAAAAATTTTAAAATATAAAAATATCATCTTAGACCGTACGTTTTTTTTTTAATTGATTTAACCAAATTTCAATACGCCGTTCGAATTCCACAAATAATAACGAAACATCTCGATCTCAATTCCCGCGAAATTTTCCGACAAACTTATTTACTTTCTCAGTCGTTAACAACAATTATATGTATCAATAGAACAATCACATGTATTGGGAACGATGTAAAAATCCGGCCGGAGGAATCGTTGCTTCCTTCCACTATTACATCCTCTAACTGGACGTTATATCCACTAGCGTACGTCATATTCACGTGGAAACTACCCTCCGCTATACCATTCGGAGATTTCACTATGAAATTATATTCGCCAATATCCGTGCTCGTCACCTTCGTCAAAAACAGCACGGCTTGATGGCAATTTGGTTGAGATAAATTCTATAAAATTTACATTTATTTCATCATAAAAATGGAGAAGTTAAAATCAGAATGAACTTACAGTTATACCGTAGGCCATAATAGTACTATCACCGTCTCCAGGTTTATACAGTTTGACGTCTTTGGCTATCCATAAGGCTTTCGTGTAGGGGGGATTGGCACAAAATTCCATGGTCATCGTTAACGGCTGCCCAAACAAAGCTGTAATACTTTTATTCGTAGGCGCCACCGTTGGTTGACCTGCAACAAAGTTAATTTATTAGTACACAATCCGAAATTTTTCAATCATTACAATCAGTACTTGGCTTAGCCCTTAAATCGAGCAACAATACCCCCGCGAACGTGAATTGTACGTTCGTTTTCCTGCTAATTAACTACCACAACTACTCGTATGTCGGGCCAGGCATTCGTACCTTTCAGTGTAGAGAAGTGTGTAGAGAATAGAGAGCAATAAAAGGGATTCAACGGTTCGGCTGCGGTAAAATACACGCTAGAAATTAACACCGATAGCGTAACTTTGATAACGAACCTGTAAATTTGAGCACGTTTAGGTAGCGATAGGGACCGGTCGTTCGCTCGACAATGGATATCGTCCGCGAAATTCGGCGCGTTTCCAGTAATAAACCATAAACCGCAATTGTTGCTGTTTGTGCAAGTGTACGATCATCTAATTTCGTCCGCGCGGATTCGTACTGATCACGTCAAAGAGAAAATATTTGCACCTGATTGTGTATGTAAATTATCTACTAATATTCCAACATCCACAAAATGCTTGGCGCATAAAATTATCAATTACAAATATTAAAACATATTTGTGCTAAATTCACTTTTTGAAAAGTTTTGGGATTAAATCCCGACTTTTTCATTTCGACATCGCACGTTTTCCAAATCGCCAATTTCGCGCCTTCTATCGTGCAATTGTAGCGGTGAATGCATTACATCGCGGGGAATTTTCCGAGAAAATCGTCGCGTTTAGCAATTTCCCGGCGCTCTCGTTCGCAATTGTTTTTCCGCCTAAAGTTTCCTCTCGGACAGCTGAAGTTGCGGTGTATAGTTGCGAAGTTGGAAAGTGTCCGAGCGGCGAACCGCGCGGTATATAGGCATTCTAGCCCGGCGAATTTCGAGGGAATAAGTTTAACCGCGACCGCGCTGAATTCGTTATAAGAAATAAATAAAACACACTTGTTCAACCACTACAAAATAAATAACTAAATCTACACATTAAAGTTATCTCCAGTGTGATAGAAATAGCTATAGACAGTATGAAGTGCAGTGGTTTATATTAAAGAATCGTGCATATCATATTTAGAATTATTCCTACCGCACTGTACTAACTTTTCTATATGTTAGAAACTTTAAGAATAAGTTTGTGACATTTTCGTAGCGTTTTATCGACTCGGATCGATGGATGTTTTTATTATTTTTTCCTGTGCCAATTTTATCGCACTTGCCACATATAAACGGCGTTATTGTATCGGTCGAAAAATCTTTTTTTATTCGCCGGGACGTCTCCCGAAAACTGGAGAAATAATATTTTTCCAGATTCGAGTGCAATATCGGCCAGTGCGAACCGTAAAATTAAAGTGCGCAATAAAACCGAAGGGTCCATTTTCGAGTGACCGGATTTTTGCTTACAAGGACCTTTTTGCAACATTGCCCAAACCGCAAAAGTTTATTCGGTTTTCGAAGAGTTTTTCCACATTTATACGTAAAAATTGCGCCAATTCTCACACATCAAATATCATATTATATTTATAGTTATAATATTTACTACCCACATTGTCTTGACTAAAGGTAAGCCGAATTTCTCATTTTATCGTTCGATTTTCCGCTGGTTTTATACAAAACAGGCTCATATGAGATAGACCCGGGTTATTGAATTTCTGAAATATGAATTTCAGGTATAAAAGGCAACAGGTTCAACTTTGAATACACTTAAATGCACGCAATATTGCAGGCATTTAATATCCACTACAGTGGAGAATGTCACGACAAGGAAAGTTTGGTTATAAATTCATAAATGTCATCGAAATTTCTGGAACATTAGCGAGTTCAAACAGCGTTTGTTGTTTGTACTTACACATGTATGGTGAGCGTGTTTTGTGAAAATTAGTAACGCTGTAGTGTCGCGTAGTAAAATATTACGGCTTTTCCATAAAAAAAAAATTGTAACTGGAAACTTATCTATATATTATTATCAACGTTTATTTTTGTACAATTTTTTCTGTATCGCATTTCCTCGACCTTCCGGCTTTTCCGAGCTCAAATTCCAAATGCGTAAAAAATGAGCGTTGCATGATCTCCTTTCGTTTCTTTTTCCCCGGAGCAATTGCTTCTATAGGGATTTTCCCAACGTTTTGTTCCCTAATTACATTTACAAAATGATGAAATCCATTTATTTTCCCGTGAGTACACGACTGTCTCGAATCGAATATTCGATTGGATTAGACGGGAAGACAAATGTTATACAGCTGAAGGGCAGTAAAGAGGATACAAAAAAAGTCACCGAAATCTGCTTAATGTTTAATGAATTATTAATTAAGGCTTTCTTTTAAAACCATCTATAAGGATTTTGTCTTTTGGTTTATTCAATATTATATGAATTAATATTTGAAATGCATAAATTGGCGTCAAACGAATCACCCGGCAAATTTTTCTTTCCTTCTAATCCCCGTCGTTTTTTTTAAACTGTTCTCGTTTCTGTTTATTTACCGAGCGTGATTTAATTTCTGGTAAATATTCGAGAGCGAATTCTTCGAAGGTTATTTTTTAAGGCGACGTTTAGTCAGTTTCAAAGACGGTCTTTCTGCTCCCTCCCAGCAATTTGATTAGTAAAACGAAAATGGGGAACGCGAGAGCGTCTCGAAAAGAAAATTTTTCAGAACTGATTTCGCGTTCTCGTGTAGAAAAAACGGGAAATTGAAGCCGATTTTTCATAAAGGTGGAATTCGAAAGGACGTTTGTATTATAAATTACAGTCTATTTATTCGAGTAATACGAGCCTAAATTAACTTAATAATCCTCTCTTTTCAAATGAGTCCCAATTCCAGTATATACGCAAATAAATTGGTGCTTTTGCAACGACCCGTTCGATTTAACTTTCATAAAAACAACATTTTCGTCAGTTCCATTATTTCCCGGTTTTACAGCAGCGGCTTGGCAACGTCGGAGCAAAGTTTCGAAATTAATTGTCGCTCATACCGTCTCCGCCGCCACCGGAGCCGGCTTTTATTTTATCGAGCACACACAAGCAGCGATACACTCGATATATTTCTATTGTATTTGTCTGGAAAATTCGAGGCGGAGCATCCGGCAAACATTGCGAAAGGAGCCAAACAGGGGGGCTCCTGTTTCTGATAAAATTTATGTTATTTACAGCAGGAAATGAGAGAATGTTTGCTTTCGCGGGGAAAATGAGCGATTATTATATTTAGATGCGATGGAAAGCGTTTAACTAGAAGCTACAGTTGATTACTTTCTTGTGTCTTTAACCGGGTATGTAATATTATTTGGATAATGTTTTGTGAAGGGATATTTTATCATTGTTATTACAGTAGTAGAATGTTGAATAATATTATTTTAAATACTGAAAATCCATTAATACAAGAAAGGTATAATGTTAAAATGGAGTAGAATAAGAGTAAACTGGATGAGTAGTTAGTTACATGATAAACATCATCTTCTAGATATTTACTTAGAGTATGAATTGCTCTATTATATTCCCGCTATGTTGATTCGAACGCATTTTCTATCAAAACATCTAAATAGCAAATCGTCTGTTTACCGAAAACCGATATATTATATTTATATACACTCATGTCGATTTGATAATTTCGATCGCATCCGTCAAACGGGCGATAATCCGAGTTAGTGGAGATCCGAGCGCCCCCGCTCGACGGCGTATTTACATTCACTTTGGAAAGACAAACATATTGACCGTCCCTCGTATTGACAGTTGCGTGAAGCGTAAACACAGTGAGTTACGGCTCCTAGATATCACGTATTAGACGATTTATGGCAGTCGTAGCATAAATAGTGTATAATGTTTGCTCGAATGGCGGGAATTTTGGAAAATTCGCCATGTAGCATAATTATCATTTTCACTGAAAATCCCCATAAATTGAATTTTATATTGCCGGAATTAGGAAACATGTTTTTTGCAAAAATTAGATGTAGATTTCATTCCTATTGGATGCAAATTCTATTTATTTATGTAGTTTTTTGTTAATGAAATTTCGATGGCACTTTAAACATTTTCCATGCTTATAAATCAAATCGTATATGTAGGTACTTCCTTTGAAATTGGGTTGGTTTTTATATTTTTGCAAAAAAAATTTATTGATATCGATTCTCGCCTCGCCCGGCCGGCGTCCGAACGTTCTCCCGATGCGCAGAATTAATATTTATCCTTTGGGAGTTTTTATTCCGCTCTTCCGAGCCAGAAAACCGTTTAAAAGCTCAAATTTATTGTCGGTAATATGGCCCGAATTCTGACCGTTATTGAATGTAAATTTGAATCTCTTTTATATCCCAGAATCGAACCCTAACCCGGTATCAAGAACAATAAGGCACTCGTAATTTCATTCGATAAAAAATAATACTCTAGTTTGTTTTACTGACAAGATTTCGATTTTAGCGATTTCAGTGTTTTCTATAATAAATTATTAGACGCAATAAATGTCGCACGGCGAAATTTTATATTTCCATCAATTTAATCGAACGTAAAATTTTAATGTCCGCTTCGCTATTAGTGCTCCGAAGGGAACGACCGTTCGGGCGCGTGAAAATCCGATTTTTACCAATGATACGATACATAAAATTAACTGTCCATTTATTTCCAAGTGTCAACCCATCGAAACGGGACGCGAATTTATTTTAATAACTCGCGCTCGTCAAAACGCAGCGCGAAAATAAAACCGGAAAAACGATTTATCATCAGCGTTATATAAAACCGTGAAAAACTAGTAATTAAAAAATTAAAAAGCGCTGGTACAGGTTTTATTTCCGCCCGTCCCTAAGCCGACGTTTTCAAACGCTGGATTTGTGCGAAATCAGATTTTATTTCTCTCGCGTACTATTCAAAAACCAGGATCGGATTCAACTCGAAAATTGACTCACTTTTATCGGAAAAGTTATATTAGTACGATCCTGTATCGCCTATATGCTAGTAGAGGCAGGACGAAGTATAAGGGTAATTTTTTTCATTAACCCGTTGTTCGGCCATGTTTGCTGTAGCGCCC